TGACCAGCCGCTTCTGGTTCGTTGACCCAAGGCCTGGCCCTGGGACATCGGACAACACCCACAGGCCTCATCTCACGTCTCTCTGCGCTCCTCTGGCCTTCCCGGGGCTCTACGGATACGGATGCACTGCTTGGGTGCTATCAATGGGACACCTGAGATAGAGGGACACGCGAGAAGAGCCGGACCCTGTCGTGTTTGTCCGCTATAGCCTACCTTCCAGCACTCAAGGATCAGCCTGTCGTGTCTCCGAGTCTCATCTCCTCGGCTCCTCAGAAAGCTCAGCTTCTCCTCTCCACTTCGTACTGTGGTACGGATAGGACTCTCTCACAACTCTGACAGTTGGATCAGCACTACAGCAGAAAGCAGCGTCGCATTCCCCCAAGGCAAGGCAGGGAAGGTCCCCATGGCCATTTCGCCCCTGGGGTTGTTCGGCGTGCAGCCTTGCTTGCTTTGGTAGCGGTTATTAGCATAATAACACTCGAAAAAAAGCAAAAGCAAAGCCGAGCAAAGCGCACAGAGCGACGAGTCTGGCCCCCATGTCCTCGTTCGCGCGCCCACTAGTCACCCACACACCCTTCTCTTTGGCCGCGTCGACGACCAACGGGGGACAACGGGGGAGGGATGGGGGCCATCGGGACGGGACCCTACAGGCACAGGCGTACCAGAGACAGGAAACGCCGTGTCGCCCAACGCTCGCAAAATTTCCGCCAGCCCACACGCCCAGCGGCGCTTGTGCTGGTTGCCCACACAGTTCTGCTGGAGACGGGGCGCCGGGGGCGGTAGGAGGAGTCAGGACTCAAAGGACCTGTGTCGTGGTTGTTCGGCCGAGTCGTGAAAAGGAGAAATACCTCGCCTGCCCCCTCCCACACGCCTTACACTCTCGCTTCTGTTTCCTCACCGTTGCTCTCCTTACCGCTGCGTTCAGTGCCCACACTCTCTTGCAACTGCTCTTCGTCATCGTGCCCTTTTTGCTGCACATTACTCTCATTCAGATTTATCAATATCGACAAGACAGTACCGTCATTCCCTTGACATTGCATTCATTAAAGGCACACGCTTTGCACGCTCACGCACAACTCAACCCGGTGGAAACTCGTCAGCTTTGGTCATACATTGACTTATATCGATTCTCAAAGCCTACATAACTTATCCAACCAAAATCAATCAAAATGCGTTTCACCAGCATCTTTGCTCTCCTGGCCGCCTCGGTCGCCGTTGCTCAATCCGCGGATGAGAGCACCACGACCATGACCGCCACCACCACCAAGACGGTTACCATCACCAAGTGCAACCCGACCAACACTGCATGCCCCTTGTACACGCCGACTTCGACTGTTGCGCCTACCATCAACTCGACGACCTCCACGCCCGTTTCCACCTCCACCTCGTCGTCTTCCTCTTCTTCGTCGTCGTCCTCGTCGTCGTCCCACTTCTACCCGGCTGCCAACTCCACCAGCTTTGCTGGCCCGACCGCCTCGGCTCCTTGGACCAAGTCTACCGTCCTTCCCATCAAGACGTCTGCCGACTCTTCCGCCCCCACCTCTGCGGGCAGCGCTGTTCCTTCCGCACCTGCAAGCGCCGGCTCTGGCCTTTTCGTTCAGAGCGGTCTGATGGCCGCCGTTGTCGGTCTCGCTGCTCTCGCGCTGAACTAGACGGCTTATCTGGTCGTCAAAGAGCAACTCAGAATTCGCAACTCTCAGTCACTTCACATTAATTCGATTCACGACTGATCTCACTATTATTCTCAGGGGATAGGCTGATTGGAGACCTTTTATTTTATCAACGATTCTGGGTGTTTTGGAAAGCGGATTGGAGCCTCGGCTACCGGGTGGCCTTACACTTCTAGCCATAGACTTATTGTTTGGGTGTCGGGTGAGTTGGAGGAGTTTATACCTACTGGGACATGATTGCAGACATACCCGACAGACGATGCACATACTCATACTCTATTTTCTGAATGAGACGAACCTGAGATGACCTCACATTTTGCCCCTCATTGGCTCTGGAATGCAGTGACTTTGATGAAATGACGCACGATCGGGCCGTTTCGATGCGAGATGTTTGCAAAGACATTTTCCTGATTCACCATGTGTGTATTTGAGCACGACAACTGCAGGGTCTCAACATACTCTACTTATAACCCACCTCGCAGTTCAATTCATCTACTAAGGCATAGGCAGGCCACCATCAGCTCAAAGTGAACGTTGTCCGGGTAGCCGGTGACCTTTTTCTTTCCTTTGCAAGCAGAGAGCAAGTGGCTCATTTTCCTGCGCCTGCATGGGTTCCACTTGAAAGGATGAGTCCCGAATGCTCTAGACCTTGGGAAGATTTGACTTGCAACAAAAGGAAGCATCTGAAATGAGTGGCTAAGACAGTACCATTGTCTAAGCCTCCGAGATGAAGCAAAGTCAGGCACTGCCGGCCGTTGGTTCTCTCTAATTGTAGGGTGGGCCAACGGCAAGCCTCAGACGCCAGCCTTAGTACTCCGTCAGTACTTACCTTACCTTACCTTAGGGTATGTATCCGTAAGTAGGTAGATTAGACCATTTCAACGGTACGGCAAGGCGTGGTAGGCTCGTCACGCTGATTCGCCCACATGGTTGCCTTACTAAAGGAACGGGCCGCTTTCTAGGTCGTCTGTGGTCTGCCCATCAACAAAGACATCCGACGACTCCTCATCATCTTTGTCGGAATTTCTACTGTTTCCAACTCTTCTCTTTTCTTTCAAACTACTAGTACCTTGTACTGCATGATTTTCCTCACTTTCACGTTGATCTCCGGTGGTACACGGATGATTGCTATCCTCGGTCCTCATTGTACTACATGGCAGACATCAAGCTCGACGGCGTCTTCCCCTCCTTCGGTTCCCGACAGTTGTGTGCCAATCGAGTATCAACAGCGGCACCATCCCGGCGGCATGCATCCCTGCAGGGATCACTTCGATTTCCATCGTGCAGAATAGGTCAATAGACTTCTCTCGTTGGTGGCGAGTAGTCCAATCGATGAAAGGCATGGAGCACAGCAATACATGTAAGCAAATATATTAATGTATGCGGTGTAATGGTAGTGCAGAGCTCGAGATTCCCTCTCCCTCCTTTTTCAGCTACTCGCACCGCGCCGAATGCGAGACACAAAACCCACCCTCCAAAGCCAAAGAACTCCCCAAACCTATCCAGTCGACTCCTATTACGGCAGATCACGCTCGTGGCCGTATTTTATGCACGCAATAGCCGCAGCTAGCTACCGACATCCGGAAATATGTCGCATCATCGTTGCGCCAAATCAACTCGAAACCAAATCCTCCTGCTTCGATAGCAAGCCAGTCGAAGTTCCAGCTCTATACGCCACACACGCGACTCGAACGTGGCGTACCCGTTGCCCTTATATTGCGTCTCGAATTGAGCACGGAGCGTAAAATAGCCATTGTCCAGGCCCACGAGTCCGGTCTAGCTTCTCCTCTGGTCTTCAACCCGAGCAATTGCCTTGCTCGCAGCTATCGCATAGGGTTTTGTTCCACGGTACTATGTTATTGCAACCACAGATACCCGACTTGTTGTGGGCGCAGACCTTGTCAGCCATGGCGTTTGCTTGCGGCTTGTTATGGGACCGGGCAGGCCTCGTTGGCGTATCAATCATGATTCGGTACACGGTTCGAGTTTGCTGGGTCTTTCTTTCTCTTCGCAAAACCTTGCCTGAAGTCGAGACGGTCTTGTGTGGCGCTGTTCAGCCGTTCGGATAGTGTTTGACGGCTCGGCCCGTCGAGAAATGCTGTGACGGAGAAACTGGGGCTGCCAAGTTTCAATGACAGGAGTGTGCAATGCGACGAATGACGAGGAACAGACGGTGGGTTCTGGATTGCAATGCGACACGGGGGTCTCTTGAGGCTGAGCAGTTCCGGTTGCCAAAGAGCTATCTGCTGCCGACAAAGTTTTTCTCTCCTGTTGATCGTCGGCTCCATCGTCCTGGAGGAACAGGATGCATTCGCTTATATATGTTTTGCATATGGCGGCACCACACACACTCTTTCCGCACACACGCACTTCGTCTCCCTCTTGGTCTCTGGCGCGCGCACACGCACACACACAAGTTCACTTACATCTGACAATCGACCCGCGTCTACATGCGGGCGACGAGATGCACAGGAGCCGTGCAGGGTGGCACTGAACATACATCACTTGTGGCCAACGTCTGGTTAGCTCCCACGCACTTGGGTCGCGGCATTTCACCAGTTCACCAGCACCATAGAAGTGTGCCACTCTGCTGGATTGACAAGATTGCGCACCGTGCCGGTCCTTTGCAATGGTAATGCGCATCATTGCAGGATCCTTGGTTTGGATCGTGTATGTTTGCTGCGAACTTCCTAGTAGCGAGTCCCTCCCCGACAGGAGACTTGCGACAAAACGACCCTGTCGGCCAGGATGAGGCGAAGCCTAAGTTGGCGCAACGACCAGCAGCCTACGGCTTCAGGACCGAGACCTGATACCGCAGCTTCACTTTCTAGAGAGAGATTTTCTCGGGACTTTCTTTGTCTTCCCGCCAGAGCCGCACTGTCAACACTCTTAACCGCCTCAAGACTTGACTATTACTGTTCACTCTCGAAAGAGCCTCTACCCTCACGCCTCAAGCCAATCACCTGATGATATTCATCTCAACACACGAGATCAAAGAATGGGCTGTTCCGGCGCAATGCCGCTGCGAAAATTTTCCAAAGGAGGTGCATTAGTGGATCGTGGGAGGACGGAGTACTTGACCGAAAGCCCATTAACATTCCCACTCTATTGCGCAGCGTGGCTGCGTGGTGGAAACCCTTGCCCATGGTTCGACGTGATATGGCCGGGGCCTGGGGCAACGAACAGACTTCTTGCAGTTTCCCGATACAAGTTCGTTTGTATTGAACATGGCCCGGGCCAGCCAGATGAACGTTGACTTCTGCTCGACTTGGTCTCCTTTCTCAAGCGCAGTCTTGTTCACACATAGGCTCTTTTCTCAATTTCTCGACAATGCCCACCACCATCTTGTTCGGCGGCGCAAAGCGACAGCGGAGAAAGTAAGTCAGCCCTGATACTGATACGGATATCAAAGGACCAAGACAGAGTTCTGTGTTTCGTACTCCTTCTTAGACTAGCCAGTCTACAGTGATTGACAGCGTCAGGGAGATGGATATATTCTCCTTCATCATCAAAACGGCAACTCACAGCTGGACGAGCCTGACGAGTACGAGGTTCTAACCAGGTGAGTAAAGCCTGACAGTACGGATAGCGGAACTTCTTCACTAGAATAGTGAACCCCTCGGGGTTCACCACGAGATGGGGTGGAGGGAAGGATGGGATGTTGTGCAGATAGGCCCCCTTCTGCGAGTGCGACGGGCTTCGCCATGGAACACACGGCTATGTCAGGCACGCTACCCGTACACTAGACGTTCGCGCGGCAGCAAAACGGTAACGCCCCCGGAATTCTGGGGGTAAAGTAGAGCATATCCACCCTGTTACCCCTTCAGGCTTCCGGGTCTCCAGAGTGTGAAAAGGCTGCTAACCCTCTTAAGGCTTTCCGACGTTGTGTTGAGGAAAAAGCAGGGGGTGTTGTAAGGTATAGGTAAGCTGTCACTTTTCACCTTTTCTTCTTCTTGAGGAGCACCGAAGCCACCACCACCCCCAGTATGAATTTCAGTGTGTGTGGAATGTGAATGGAACGTTGTTCTCGTGGTAGAAGAGAGGAGAGATTTGCCGATTGCAACCACAGCTAGCTTTCCTGCTGTTGGGTTTTGGTATTGCATGAGCGACTTATCTACAGAGTATTCGTATACGATATGGGCATTAGGAGGAGTGTTGGGAAGAAACCCCATAAGCACACATGGCTTTTTGCCGAATCCCAGCAAGCGAAAGTACAATGGTTGTCTCACGTCAAAGCGTTTTTTCTTTTATTTATGTTTCCACAGACTGCCACGCTGCAGCGCAGCAGTCGCAGTCGCATGCTGCGCCAGACCCCCACTTTGAGAACCATGTCGCCGGGATCTTTGAGGAAACAGAGCTCTCGAGTCTCGACTTTGAGTGCTGGCGGCGGGCCGCGGACCAGGTCTGAACTGAATCGAGTGACAGACCAAGGAGGGAATACGGATATGATTGCGGCACAGCGCCAGTACGAAAGGATTTTGGGCATTGCGTTATTCGGCTCTTTCCCCCTATTTCTCTTCTCCCCCATCTGCCCCTGCTTCGGCGGGGTCCCTGTTTGATTCTGTAGCGGGGACGTAGGATTCGTCGTTGTTGTGCTGCAGAATATCGGCGGACGATGGGTGGTGTCGGCTAAACGTTGTATGCGGATACGTTAGTCCTCAATTTGCAACTTGCAGGTTATTCGCACCTGTGCGGGACGGACTGTAGGTGAATTAGTTCCTTTCTGCCTCGACTTGAACAGCGGGCTCCGAGCTGAAGTGGTATGGTAAGCCATTCGTCCTCCATATTTGCCTCGTGCTCTTGGGTTCGTCGTAGCTTGAAAGTCTGGGGGCATATGAACTCGAAGTCTAAGATGGAAACACGATGATTTTAACGTTCTCCGCTCGTCATGTGCAAGGAAGCGAAAGTGGGCATCTTTCGTCTTGAAATATTGTGTTTCTGCCGTGTATATATATTCAGAAGGAATGCTATGCTTACGGTACGCCGGTCAACGACCTCCTTGCGTACGGGAAGAAGAGAGATCTGGGGACAACATTGCTCCTACACTTGGGGTCCAGATTAGATGCGATACGATGTAGTAAGATGAGATGTGATATGATTACCTTGTGATGAAGAACAAGAGAGAAATGACAGAATGGTGGAGAGAGATGCTTTTCCATCGTGCTTCATTTTTTTGGTCACCATCTGTTCCGTCACCTTCAGGTGCAAGTATATGCTTATTGCTTTTTGAAATAAATTGTCCAAGAGGGATAGTGAAAGAATCTTCAAACGCCGAGGTTGAAATGACAGTTGCAACAGATTCTCTTACAAATCTACTGAAATTTGAGAGAGAGGCATTGTAATTACGAGACTTCAGTACAACCAGGATGACATACTGCTCATATTATCATGCAGGACCAGACCAGACGACCGACGAACTGATAAACAATGTAATAAGATCAACAGTAGTCAGTATTCCTTCTCGAGCTTGACTTTCTGTTGAGCGCGAGGAGGCCATTATTCAATGAGCCGAAGCGAAGGGATGAGTCTTGATGAGTAGCTCTCAACAACCTGTAAAGTACCCAACTCATTCATGGTCACGTTACGAGCAAGATAGATGGACGGAAGGGCGGATGAGATCACTAACCAGTTCCGACGTCGTAACGCCGTCGTGGTTGCTGTCGTTGTTAGTACAGGTAGGTCAGTTGTTCCATTGCCCTCGTTCCCCTTCTCGCCATCTTCTACCCTGCGTATACATACTTGCTTAGTACGCCCAGCACTCGCTGAAGGGATTTGTCGGACAGATCATTTCGGCGCCATCGTGTTGGACGCAATGGGTGCCTTGTGCCAGCTCTGGAGGATTGCCTCCGATGAGGCCCTCAGGTCGCCCGCCACGTTTTGCCCAGGGTCTTCCGTCCAAGTCACGTACATTACTTGCAGCTCCGTTCAGTCGCTACCTCCTCTTCGAGATGATTGTCATGGAATTACGCCCCGAGGAACGGCTGATGCCGCAAATCAGGCGAGGATCAATGATATATAGTGACCTTCATGTAAAGTTCACAACCACGGATTATTGACGGCGATATTAGGCGCCCGACGCCACCACCTTATGAGCCGCCCACTTAGCTAAGTTTGCGGCCCCTCTAGGTAATAGTAGCTTATAACGGTAGTATTAGAGATGCCCTCGTTGCCGTCGTTAAGAATGATGTCGACCTCTGGCAGACATCGTGGTCAGAGCAAGATCGCGATAGCTTACAGAGGTCGGCATCATTCTTAACGACAGTAACGAGGGCATCTCCGATACTACCGTTGTGAGCTACTGTCACCTAGACGGGCCGCAAACTCAGCCAAGTGGGCGCAGGCTCACAAGGTAGTGGCATCGGACGCCCAATATCGCCGTTAAGAATCCGTGGTTGTGAACTTTGCAGGAGGGAAAGTTGAAAATGTGGAAGGAAATCTAAAAAATAGTCTATTGAGACAGTGGGAGTATCCATTGATACTGTGTATTAATACCGTGTAATCGATATCGAGAACCGCCCGAGCAGCTAGCAAAGGCAGAATATTAAAACAAATAGTGACCTTCATACAAAGAAATATGAAATGAAAAAAACTATCCGTTTGGCATTAAAGATAAAGAAAACAGAAAATCGTTATACGAATGTTGACACCCCCGGTTGCCCATCAATTCACTGTGAGGTAGAGGACCTGTGTAGAGAAAAGACCGCTAGAGACGTTATATAGTAGTACAAACTTCGGAAGCTTGTATTCAGACAATCCAAGCGTCACACTCAACTTGTATAAGAACCTCGGAGTGGCCTAGAAGTCTCTGGTCTAGTCCAATGGCCCAAAGGACATCTCACCACATCACAGTGCAGTTCCAAGCCAGACGAAAAGTGATTGTACTTTTGTATTGATGCGGAAAATTAGCTCGGGGCAAGAAAACCTCCTCCATCACGTGTGCTTGTATCTATGTTCTGACAGAAACATCTCTCCCCAGGAAAACAAGCCAATGCCTACTGCCAGTTGCCTTGTTTTCTTCACTCTTCCCACTTGCCCCGAGCGTACGAACAGAAAGACCAAAACAATGTCTGGGATCGAAAAACCCGCAGTGAGGAATACAATTACAATACATTCGAGAACCCCAGAATGCCGCCCCGTAAACGCCTTAGAAGCCAAAAGCAAGGTTTGAACCGGCCGATTGCCGAGCCAGGTATAATATGCATCGAATGCTTGGGGAAGGGGAAGAGAGAAATGCGCCCCGAGGGACCCGTTCATCTTCATCGTTGTCATCATCGCCGTGTCGTGGACATCATGCCGGTCAAAGCCGGCTTCCACCCGTAAACACCATCCTAGTTTGCCGCAATCTCCAAGGTTACCAGAACCCAACGCCAATTCATGCAGAACAACATGGACCGGTCGTGATCATCATCATCATAAGTGGTTAGTAAGTGGTCGGCCCGAGTCACGTGGCCCGGAGTAGAAACTCAAGAACGAGGGCCAGGCTGGATGCCTCTGCGTGTCACCTAGGCACCAGAGACTTTGCGGGCCGTCGACGCCGCCGTAGCTGACGTTGCCGAGGTACCCACGCTGCCAACACGGCCGCTCGTCTTTCGAACTCCATCCTTGGACCTCGGCGACTCGCCCGATCGCTTACTGCCACGAACCTTGGTGAGAATGCCGGACGCGCTGCTGACTCTATCCACTTGCTTGACGCGTGATGTTCCGAGGTTCTCGACGTCATTGCTGGCATCGTTGTCGATGTACGTCTGGTACACAGCGGCAGCTGAGTGACTAACCGAGCGCTTTTCGCTGCGACCAGGTGACGCGGACGGTTTCCGTTGCGAGCGCATGCGGAGGTGAATTTCTTCATCCGACTCAGCGCTATGAGAATGCTTGTGGACTGTGATGGTCTCGGCGTCTTGGTGGATGCCCGTTTCTTCCTCGACTGTTGCGGTGTATGAAGTTGACCTTTGGTATGGGTGGTGGCGGTCTGCCCTATTGGTCTTCCTCGGCTGACCAGGAGTCGGCGCTGGGAGGTAGTCTTCCTGAACCCCAATGTTATTGCGGTCGTGGTCGACTTCGCTCAAAGGCGTCCGGTTAGAGGTGCTCCGGTGCGGGGGCGTGGATGCCTGACCGGCACGAATCGACGTCTTCTGCATGGCGCGGATCGGGGTGCTGGGGACAGCGGCATTGGCGGCCATTTCTTTGCGGAGCTTGCGCTCGATGCGCTCCTCGATCCACCACTCACGGAAGATACCCTGGTTGATGTGAAGCCAGTGCTGCTGGGGACCGACGACCATACCGGGCCGCATGAAGCGCATAAAGGCAATGATCTCGTTGGCAGTGAAGCCGTGGCGGTAGATGAGGTATGCACCAATGAGGCAGCCTGTTCTTCCGAGACCGGCCTTGCAGTGGACAGCGATGCCCTTCTTCTTGACGGTGATGGTCTCGTGTGCCAGTCTGATGAACTTGCGGACAGTGGTGAGAGGCGGGCATGTGCCGTCGTCGAAGATCATATCGAGGTGAGAGATGCCCATTGACTCGAAGAAGGACGGGGAGTACAGAGGCGAGTTGAGGCGAACAACGAGGCCAATGTTTCTCTCGGTGAAATGCTTCAGAACGTTCTTAAAGGGTTGGGGAAGCGTCTTGTTGGCATCCAGTTGGCCGAGTGACTTGGGAAGCGCATCAAATTCCTCAGTGCCTTCGAGGACCTTAGCAACGGGTGTGTGTTGCGGCGAGGCAAAGGCCAGGAAGTGTGGCGTGATCCAGTTGAAGTCTCCGTGCTCCACTCTCTCAAACTTCTCATACTCGTCGAGGTCGAAGTTGTCGAGGGCGCAGCAGCCCTCCTCCTTGGCCTTCCAGACGCCGTAGACAACATCTTGGACGGTGATGCCGTAGTCGGCCTGAGAGTATCCAGCGTCGCGGAAGGGCATCAAAGGTGGGTCGACTTGAGCGATGGGGGCCAGGGCCAGATGCGGGGGCCAGTTCTGAATAAGGACCATGTAGCAGGCGAGCATGCAAGCAGCGTTGGCGCGACCTTGTAAATTGTTAGCTGGGGGTTCCCATGACAACTATCTAATGCCGCGGACTCACTTCTGGGGTCGGCTCTACTCCAGAAGACAATTGGGCGATCCTTATTCTCCTTGGCACCGAGGACGTCATGGAACTGCAGGGCGAAGCGGTACAGGTGACCAATGTGAAGCGGGCCAAAGTCGTGGTGGAAAGCATTGTACAGGAGGGTATCGTCGACGGTGAAGTAGTACGGTGTTTGACGGGCGGCGGTCTGGACGGGTGTCGGGCCTTCGGCCGCTCTCTGTGATCGCTTTCTAGGTGAAGACTGGGCAGCTTCGCCGTAGGGGAAGATGGTCTCGGCCGTGGGCGGGTGGATGTAGGCGGCCAGGTACAGGCGGTCTGGAAGCCAAGTCAGAATTGAGATTGGTAAGAAGGCGCAATAGAGGTAGGGATGAAGCTGGGGTAAGGCATAGTTGAAGCTGTCGCATGTTGCGCTTACGTCGGCTTGCCGCGAGCGAGGCGACTGAGACGGCGCAGGATAATGATGCGACATGATTGCGATGTTGAGGGCGGGCAAAATGCACGATTTGGGAGTTGAAAGAGCACGCGCGATAACTCACCTGGGATGTACTCAATGACCTGGCCCATGTTGGCACTCTTGGATGAAGGCGCCATTGGGACTCGTGAGTCTCTGTTTCCTCTCTGAAGCTATTGTCCGGTTGAGATTGGGAGGAGGCAGTTGCTCTCGGCGCCGGAATCCAAGATGCAACTTGGAGGAGGCTGGAGGCTGGAGGGGGTCGAAATGATCAAGGCAGGCGCCGAGATTATCCAGAGGCGAGGCTACTCCTTTGTATGCGAAGTAATGCGCGCGCAAGGGAATTCGGGAAGGCGGTCCCTGGGAAAAGTGTCGTGCAGCAAATGGGTGCGGGATTGTGAGCTGGGTTGAGGCAGGAATGTTGAAATGGCTGGTCTGAAACAATAACAACAACAAGCAGCTACTGTACACCTTTTTGGTTTTGATGTTTTTTTTTTTCCTGGTCTGACCCAAAAAGCTGCGACGCCCTTGCGGAGAGCGGAGAATAGAGAAGGAAGCGCAAGAGAAAACAGCAACCCGACTCAAGGGAGATGTGATGCTTCAAGGGCGGACAAGACAATTGTCGGAGTCTATTGGGAGGATGAGGTAAAAGGAAGGTATTGCGAAAGCGCAAAGGAGACCGAGTGACGGTGTTTTTGTATGGTTTGCTGTGTGTTTTGCTCCAAGCGGTCAATATGGGGCCGGCCCAAAACAGCAAGGGTCGGTTGTTGTTCCCTTAGCCTTCTGTGCAGTGTGGCGCCCCCCAGGTGGCCCCCCTGCACCACGGCGACCGCTGTGCTGTGGTGTGTTCTGGCCCTGCTCATCCAGTCTTGTGCTGGCTGCCGGGCTGCCAGGTTCGTTGTCACGACAACCTGCCAGGGGGAGCACTGGCCAGGTGCGCCTCCTGACGGATGGATCGAACCGTCCCATTGGCTCACAACGCCTGAGGCAAACGCACCCGCCTCAGATCCCGCTTGGCTTACCACCTGGACTAAGATATCTACCACCTCACCACCTTACCGTGGGTAAACAGGTACCAAGTATCTTCCCTTTACCATGGAAACTAAGCCCTTTGCAGTATCTGACGGCTGTTGACCACCGCTTGCGCAGCTAATGCCCAAAAGAAATGCCCCCTTGCTCTCTCTCCAGGTTCTATCGGTTTGTTCCAACAATAACAAACCAGCCAGGCACAGATGGGCAACCGTCTCCGCATGAACTCGTTTAAGCCTTCCCAGGTTGCTTATCGGGCGGCATTGCATCAGACAACATGTGAGCCGCCAGGGCAACCCCACGTTGTGCATCTCGTCCCTCTGTGGACTCTTGAACTGTGAACTCTACCTTACCTTACCGTCTACGGATACGGGATAGGTATGGAGCAATACGCACTTCATCCATCCCGATGGAACCAATAGAACATGTGTGTAAGTCAAAGAGGTCACCAAGTCACCTTGGGGACGGCCCGAGAGCCCTTGTGCGTGTGCGTTGGCTACATTGCTTGATTCTGTCGTGTGTCACATTTGACCCTAGACTGAGATGCCGCCATGGAAACAAGCCCGTGGAATGGCGGGGCACTGTGCTCCCTACTACGTAGTCACACTATCCTTACTTTTCTCGGTCCCTCCAAGGTTTGTGCTCACCTCATGTTTCCGTCCCGTTGTCCCGCTCATTGTTTGGTTTCTTCAAGGTACGCACGCAGTACGTACGGTACGTTACTTTGGTGTTTGCCGGCCGGACAGGAATTTTCTTGCGCCGCCAATGACGACTTTGCCTTCTCTTTCTGCTTCCTGTCAAGTTCCTTTTCAGGAAGATCTCCATCCCTCCCCCACAGAGCCGCCGTGACAGCGCAACATCGACGGGGCTTGCCCATTTCTGTCCACCCAAGGCACCTCATCACTTTACTTACCTAAGATAGTCTACCTGACTATCTCTATCTCGATTTCACCCCTCCCCCTCCCTCCACATCCCACCTCCAAGCGCAGAACTCCCAGCGCCGAGAATCCCCAACCATGGCCGTCCACAACACCATTGACCAAGAGTTCCCCTGCTCATTGTGAGTTGTCGCCGCCATACCCAAATCCCGCATGGACCCCCCATTTCTTCTCGTATTTGTACCATACCCACCTCATAGAGATACAAAAAACTGAGACATGCGAAACGATTAGAACAATCAACGTCCCCTTCCCGACCCCGCGCCTAGCCACCGTTGCGCACAAAGCCCTCGCCGTCGACCAAGAACTGTCTCCCCTCGTCCGTCGCACCTTCTCCATCGATTCCGACTCACCGAGTGACGCCGGCGCCGGCGCTGCTTCCGTCCTGCGCGTACACTACAAGGCCACCACAAACCGCATGCTTCGCGTGGCCGTCAATGGCCTCATGGAGAGCCTGAACCTCGTTGTCGAGGTCATGGAGGAGCTGGATGTTGATGTTTTGGAACACAACCGGGTCTCTTCGCAATAAGGGGCTCGGAAAGAAAGAGAAGGAGCAGTGAAGAGGGGGAGGGGAGAAAAGAAAAACGCCTCTCGTGGATTGCTACTCGAAATATGGGAAACTAAAAGGAGAAAAAAAAAATACAGCTGATCGCTGGAAATCCAAGACAAGAGAGCGGGAACGAAGTCACACGCGATGGGAAGAGAAGACGGGAAACGATGCATCATGACTTCATTTTTTACATTTTTTGTGATACCCTAGAATACACAGCCACATGATACGTGACATGATCACAAGGTGCCAGTGCTCTCTCTGTAGAGCTCTAGTCTAAATTTGCTTCTAGATTCTCCTGAGCCTAATACCTTAGCTTCAGGCAGGCTTGTGCCGGCGATGACCCCTAATGCGGCCAAGTACAGCAAACGTGGCAGGAGGATATGTTTCCTAACGGTTATACGGCTCCAGATATCCCTCTATGGCCCCCCTTAATTACTTCATATATCATGCCCGCCCGGTCTCTTGACCAATATATTGTCTCTGTGGCTCTCAAGGCCATCATTACAGACGCGCTCGTCTAGCTCTCCACCGCCTCCTTCTGCTCCAAGGACTTTTCCTTGAGCTCCAACTTCTTCTCCGCCTCCTCGGCTCGCTTGGTGGCATCGGCGACTTCCTGCTTGAGCTGTTTAATGTACTCAATGGCCAGCTCGACGGTGCTGGCTTTACTGTTCGGCGCCCCTCCAGCCTTGGCCTCTTTTTCTCTCTCTTTCCTCTCTTCGCTTTCGGTCTTGGATTCCTTTGGCGGTTGCGGCAGCAGCGTCGCAATCTCTTGCAACGCCGAGTTGATTCGGTTCCGGCGGCCCTGTTCCGCAATCTTGTGAGAAGTACGCTTTGATGTGAGGTTGGTCGACAGTTCGCTGGGATACGTCACACCGGGCACGGTATTGCCCTCGAGGATGTTCTGATAGTTGGACTTTGACATTAACAGACGAGATGCGGTGTCTTCGGCGGACATGCCACCTGGGGTTCCAGGTAGGAGCGGCTTGATGCTAGGAGATATCCTCGGCCGCAACGCAGGCGAAACATGTACCGAGCTCACGCTTCCCCTCTTGCTCTGGCTTCCCCTGGCCAACAGCTTTGGCGTTTTCCGCGCCGATGGACCTGAAGATCCAGGAGCAAGGTTCGGGCTCGCGCTGGCTGACGCCGCAGCGGTGGGTTTGGCGAATACAGGGGAAGGCAGCGGCTGGAAGGACGAGCCCGCAGCCGTGCCAGGGTCCAGAGGCGACTGAGTCGGTGTTGATGTGTCCAGTCTAGGGGGTTTCGTTTTTGATGAAGAAAAGTTCACGGATTCGGGCAACTCGAACGATTCAATATGGTCTGATGGGCCTAGATCGAGAGGATTTGATGAGGCGGAGTTGTTTGCGCTGGAAGCAGGCAGCTTCATGAGAGAGGCCGGTGTGGCGGGAGACGGCTTCCCTTGAACGTGAGCCGGAATCGCGGGATGAGGCTGAGGTTGAGGTTGAGGTTGAATAAAGGGTGATTTGCTCGATTGCTTCTGTTGCGGAAGAGGCGGCGGGGGCATATCTGACAGGTTCTCCGGCGATACTGATGCATTTTCAGACTCCTCGCTGCTCATCGGGGCTGGCAGAGCCGTCGAAGGAAGCATCTGATCCAACTCATCCTCGTTCACCTCCCGCATTTCCGAGAGAGCCTGGGATACCATCTTCGGCGTGGGTGTTGCCCTTTTGCGCTGTGGTTTTGAAATCGGCGACTGTCGCACACTAGATTTGGCCTTGGCTCTCGAGGCGTTGGTCTTGCGGGCCTTCTTTGATAAATCTACCACAGGCTGTTGCGTGATCGTGGTTTCAACATCCATCTCGGCTGGTGAATTGTGGTTTGAGAGGGACGATCGACGGTCGTAAAGCAGTCCCTGGTCGCTTTGCGCGTGTAATGCCGGCGAGGTGAGAGGGCTGAAGTATGCGCTTGGAATTGTAAATCCGCCAGCTTCCATCTGGAAATGAGGATCCAACGGTGTTACAGCTGGCGAGACCAAGGGAGTGAAAGCCATCTATTAAGTTCAGCTAAAGAGGTTCGTTGCACTGCGAGGGGGATCAACTCTTACATCCTGCTGCTCCTTCATCCTTTGATACCTGCTGCCAAACATGGGCGTCTGGCTTTGGTCGTTTGAGTAGAACTGGTTGCTGGCGGGCGGCATTTCGAGACTCTGAGGTGTAGGTGGAACAGCGTGTGTCTGGCTAGCGTAGTATGCGACTTGCTGTTCTTGTATCTGGCGATGTTGCTGTTGCATCCTTTGCTGCTGTAGGTACTGTATCTGGGCGTCGATTTCGGTAATGGCATCGGTTGACGTCGACGGGGGAATCATTTGAGTCTGTATAGCAGGGTGCGCGGCGGCCGTTGTCATGTTGATAAGCTGCGCTTGCATAGCAGAGGTGGTAGCTCCCATGAGCATGGACGTGTCGGTTCCTCCCATCTGAGTATCGATCTGCTCGCGACCAGGCTGATGCATGATGCCGGTCCCGTTGCCAGTCTGATAGTCGTTGAAGTCGAAGGGCATCGCATCGCTGAGGTTGCCCATCCCACCCAAGTCCAAGAATTGCTGAAACTCCTCATCGTGGTTTGGTGCCAAGGCCGGGTCCTGGGGGTTCCAAGAGGCGGCGTCCATCATGGCTACACTGAAGGTTGCGACTCCGGCTCGGAGAATTTCAAAGCCCGAACTGCAAATGGCGCTGTCGTGGGAACACCGTCGAATCTTGTGCGCCTTCCCTTTTGCAATATCCGATTCGTAAGATCCTGATCAATGCACTCGATTGGCGCGGTCGTAGGCCGATAGCGACAGTCGTTGAAGTATGTCGGGGTGAAATAGGTGAGAGAGGCTCAGTAGGTTGCGCATAGGGCAGTGTATGGAACGTAAAGGCACGGCTTGTCGTGGGGTTCTGTTCGAGGTGCGTGGGGAATACGGGATGAAAATGTGCCGGGCGCAAAGTGTAAAGCGCAGTGCCTCGCGCCGAATGAATTCGGTGGGAGACTTCGCTCTCTCGATGCCAAGAAGAACTCGGGTTTTGAACAACCTGTGACGGAGTGATGGACGAGGTTGAAAGATGGTGTTGGAAACAGGAAAACCTGTCTCTCTTGGTGGAGAGAGAGAGGCTGGAGAAGACGAGCCGACGGAGCTGAGGGACTGAGAGGCAGTGGCAGTGGCAGCGAGCAGGTGATAATGGTGGGAATGGTGGGGGGAGACACACCTACTGCGTACATACGCATTAGTGCACTAGAGAAGGAGGTGGGACGGGGGTGCATTCAGATGGATGGATTGCCATTGGCAGCCGGTGAGTGGTTGACGAGCCCGTGGACACATTTTTTCTCGCGTACCTTGGACTGGCGGACCCAAGCTTTGCCTCGATAATCGACTGCTTCCTTGCCCAGAACATGGATGACAAGTGAACTGGCCCGTGCCCGGCGCATTCATGCTTCCAAGGACTCCCCAGTACAGGGATTTTATTATGTGGTTATTGTTGAGCTATCCGTAACTGCACTAGGTTTCTGTAAATTGGTCGAACCGACCGACACGCGGTTAAATTGGGAAGCAGAAAAAAATACACAGTACGGAGGTACGTCTCAATAGTCCTTATAGTAGCTGCTAAGCCCTCGACCCATAATTACTACTAATTTTAACTAACTAGAGGCCACGGATTATTCCTACCCACTTTACTTACTTTTTACCCCTATTACTACTTATAATAACTACTTTAACCTATATACTATTATTATAATTATTACGAGGCTTATAAAAATACTAAAACTATTAAAATTACTAAATCGCTATTTTTAGAGCCCTTTTTTTCCCCTTAGTATAAATCCTAAAATATTAATAAAAAAGAAACTAGATCTAGGTATTAGGGTAGTTATTTTAATTTTATAAAGTCGTATAATTAGGTAGATTATTAAATAAATATTTTAAGCTCTAGGAATTCTAATCCGTACTATTTTTAATATTTTTACTTATATAAAAAAGAACGGATTCAACTTAGCTATTCTTATTTTTTTAATTTAACTTATTTATTATAAAAATGCCCCCTAAAATAGCTACTTAACTAAATAAATTAAAGAGGTTAATAATGTTATTATTTATAAAGTTTACTATAATTAGTATAATTATAAAAAGAACTATATTAATATTATTAAAAATCTTTTAAAAAACGACGGCGTTAATATATTAATAATAACTATTTAGTAAATCCTTTATTATTACAGTTTTTATAAAACTAAGCTAACTTATAAACTAGGCTTAATAAAAAAGATATAATAAGAGCGACTTAAATAGTACTTTAATTATTAATACTAAACCCTTAATAATTAGAAGCGGGTTATATAGTTAAATAAGACCGTAGTTACTTTTAATTATTATTATAGTAGTTATAAGCTTTAGTGCTACTTAAATAAGGCTTATATTAAATAATATATATAAAAAAAGTAAAAAGGTTATTTTAAATTTATATTTTAAGGCTTTTTTATATATAAAAAAAAAGGGCCGTATTATTATTAAATTTTTAAAACTATTATTAAAAAGAAGGTTATTAAAATAAAGATTACTTAGTTTAATACTAAGCTCGAGCCTATTTAATATTAATAATAAGAGCTTAAAAGTAGTATAAAATAAATAAGCTTACGGAACTTACTAAGCTATAAGCCCTAATTTAATTAAAATACGAAATTAAATAAGTTAGTATAGAATAGTAAGGGCGGAATTAATTAATATAAATATTATAAAAAGATCTTATTATTTAAATTATTCTTTTAAGTTAAAAGATTACTTAGTAATCTAATTATATAAAAAGATAAGGCGCTAGCTTATAACTATTACTTTATTTATTATACCTATAGCTTATTTAAAATATAAAAGCTTTTTTAACTAGGTAATTTACTTAACCTTAATCTTATTAAGCCTTATTAATTATAAATAAAAAAATAGATTATTAAAAAGGGGGTACTTAAGTCCTAAGTAGAAGTAATATGTTATTAATAAGAGTATTAATACGTATTATTATTAAAAGAAATTTAGAAATAGATAGAAAGGATATTTTATTATATTAAGTAAATAATTATATTAAAAAGCGGTAATAAATATAAAGAGGGTAGACGGGCTAAATTATACTATTAAATAGCTACTAATTAACCTTAATTAACGCTTTTTTATTATAAAATTAACGATAATTAATAATAATTATAGTAGCCGAATTCTGCTGCTTATATACACCCTAGCTAGCCCCTTGTCGACTCCCCTGTCTGTGGCAGGGGTTGGGCTTGGCAGCCACTGCAAGGACTATTGAGACGCACCTCCGTATGATATCCGTTACTCCCGTACTCAGGGATCCTACCCGAACAATCTTGCCGACGGCAACATGTCATGTTGGCGGGTGTATCACCACCAGCGACACCCGCTAGCACCTTCAGATCTCGGATCGTCAGCAGGTTGGATGAGGTCACAGGACAATCCTGAGCGATCGCCGCGCCTATGAATACCCATCATAGCCGCAAGGTAAGGTATGTTTGCGCTGAAGCCGCAGTCGAAGATTATTCGCTGCGAAACAGTTGCCCAACACGGTTTCAAGTCCGATCACTTACCTACTGTCCGGGAATATCCGCCTTCGCTTCAAGCACTGTCCGAACCCTCGGGCAATGCTCAGTGTGAACTATGAAGTGAGCAAGCATTTCCCTGCGTCTAGTTAGACCATTCCATATCTCCGGAGACAACACCACGAGGATACTTACCTCAGGCTACTATACAGTTCAGGACTATGTATCTACTCCGTACGCATCTTGGCCAAGTTCTACTTGCCTGCCACTATCCCAGGGGTCTTTTGTCTGTGCTCAATCTGACCCTGTCCAACCTTCTCCATGAGACAAGAAACCTCCTCTTTTCTTTCAAGTTTCAACTGACAACAGTGGAGGTATTACACTATTTCCAGATGGCCCCTCTCGGACTCGGAATGATTGTCGGGGAAACCACAACGTGCAATGGCTGGTATTTTCTCCCCAACCATGGCACTCACCCAGCCATTGTCCCACGACTTCCCAGTCACGGCGCTGGAGAGTTGAATAATGAGGACGGGACGAGGGGAGAAATTTTCTCACCCGATGTCTTTTTACGGATTGGCGCTCCGATCACACCGAGGCCTTGAGCGAGCAAGATTGACTTAAAGTGGATCCGGACCCTCATCGGCAACGGCGCCGGCGCCGCGCCACGCAAGTTGGTCGGAATCGAGCTCGAGCTTTGACCGCTCCAAGCCCAAGACTCTCGCTGTTGCTTCCATACTAAGGAAACCTTGGGATGCGAGATGCCAGGTGAGGTATGGTAAGCTTCCCAACCGCCCAGAAGAGTCAAGAGACATCCCGCAGCCAAGCCCATCACGGCAGACGTCAAAACTGACAGCCCAGGCAGAGGGGCTCTCTCTAGCCAGCAGGCGGAGCCATGTTCCACACTACGAGTCCGTGACTCGTGAGCTTGTCTACTCGGGTCCCATCTCGGATCTCCGACTTCGATCCTGACAAGCGTCGTAGGCCCATAGTGCGGTGATTTAATATCCAGCCCGGAATCGGTGCTGCACTGCCTGCAAGTCATGAGCGATTACGGGACCAGAAACGGGGTCAGACGAACAATGCAACCTGTCGCCTTTGGTTTAATTTGGATGACCGGTAGTTGGGTACTGCTGATTGACATTGGGCCCAGGTTGCAGTCGTATTGGTCTCCCAAAGTCCAGGGTCCATTGAGACTCATGAAGAAGAGCATCGTCATCAAGGGATGTCCTTGTTGCTGCTTTGGGTTCTCACACGAGCTGCTCACGTTACCGAGTGACGGCTCGAGTTGCCCCCTCTCTGCGTTTGCCTGCCCCTCTACGAATGCCTAGGTAAGTTTCCAAAGTCACGTTGTAAGGAAAGTGTGGTAGGAAACGGCGGTTGTTCTATCTATCCGAACGATCTCGCCAATGACCCTCTCGCAGTTAGGTGTCAATATACACCTACCTCAACCTCTGCCTTGAGCTGTGTTAGTTAAAAAACATAATCTCCAGTGGAAGTCGTTAGGTAACGGAGGTTCTAGAACACCACCGTTAATGTGTGTCGTCGTGGGGGTTGAAGGGCGGGGGCCGAGGGTGCAGATTTCCGAGTGCAACCATGATTAGGTCAGCTACACGTAGTCAGCAGCGCCACATATCTGCTTGGCTACACTTTCTGCACCGCTATATTGTGGCTAGAGAGGATCAGATGGCCCAAGCTTAGGTTTGGTGGCTGGAAATCACGTGAAAGTCCTCCTGACTCTCTCCATGTCGCGAGAGTGTCGCATAGGTACCGTACTTGGTGGAAACATGGCTCGAACCACTGTCATTGCTGAATCATCCTTGCCCTTCGTGCCAGAAACGGCCAGAGACGTCCGGTACGAGTAAGGAAGACCTCTCGGAAGCATTCATGCGGGAAACCAGGTCGCACAAAGGATTTCGAGGGATTTGTTACGACTCTTGAATATCAGATGTAGTAAATGAGAGCAAACTGATGGCAGGAAGGAAATAGAGAAGCATCATTCGGAATTCATTCAAGGAGATCTTTGTCAGTGTAACAATATCTAAAGAAGCCAAGGATTGTTCAAACTCGATACCTAACTTGGACGAACAGCTACGCAGCAGGTACGATGTACGAAAAGGCAGCTTGCTTGCAGGCTACTGCCCGCCGCTGCCCGCCGACCCACTACTTACTTGAGCGGGCTTACAGCTGAATGGTCGACGGGAAGCAAGCATTCGAGTGGGTGTTCGCTCGGTCTCACCCAAACGGCAAACCAAAACACTCCTTTCCCCTCAGCTCCCGCCCCCTCCCCCTCCACTTCACCTTGTCGCTCCCGTTCTCCAATTGTTCGGCCGCTTGCTTACCTTAGCTCTGTCCCGTCACGTCTCTGCACTCTTGGAGCTACCTTGCAGTACCTTATTACTACGGCACAAGCTCAACCATCTAAACCCGAAACCCAAAAACACCATACACCTGTATACCCGCCCGGGCCCAGGTATATAATCCGATCTCCCAAGATCCTGTCACAATCCATCACCGACACCTGCCATCCCACGATTAATTGATTTCTCAAATACCCCAACCATGAATTACGGTCATCAGCATCCCAATGGCGGCTACCACCCCATGCCTCCTGGACATCCCGCGAACCAGATGCCCCAGCTTCCTCCCATGGGGTATCCAGCACCAGCGCCTTTGCCATCTAACATGCCGCCCAATATGCCGCCCAACGGAATGCCTATGCAACATCAACCTCAACATCACCAACCGCCTCCGCCCCCTCCGGCTCAGGCACCCGTGCCAGCCTCTATTTCAAAAACGGATGATTTGGGCAGGAAATACGAGTACGTCGCGCGCTTCTTGCAAAGCACCGAAACACTTGAACTAACAATGCGATTGCCAGGCTCGTCGTTGTGCAGCAGCCTCAGCGAGCGCGAATGTGCGGGTTTGGTGACAAGGTATGCTCACGTTTGCCGTTTCTAAGACTCGCGACTCCCACTAACAATTACCCCAGGATCGCCGGCCGATTACCCCTCCTCCGTGTATCAAAGTTGTCGTGCGAGATGCGAAGACTGGCCAAGAAATAAACCCAAAGTACGTGCGGCGCAACGAACCACAGCATCTTTGATTTGCTGTACTAACCTCGGCGGACAGCGATATCGATTCGGCACATTACATTATTCAGGTTGACTTGTGGTCAGAAGATGGCACCCAGGAGGTGAACCTCGTTCGTCACTCTTCCAACACAGCATCGATATCGACCACACAGCCTTACTCGTACACGGCGCTGCGCGAGGACCCCATGAACCCGCCGCCAGCGCAGCCTTACCAAGATATGCAACCTTATGGATCAGCACCCATGGGATACGGCCAACAACCGCCACCGCCGCAGCCCCAACAGCACATGATGCCAAGCTACGGCATGGCAGCTGGATCCAACTATCCTCGTCAGTCTCCCGACCATGTGACTGCTCTGTTCTTCTAACGTACTGACTCGTGGTGTAGAATACCAGTCAACCAATTCTCGGTTTGCGCCGGCAACTCAGTACTATCCACAACATGCCAACCCAGGCCCCGTGCCCTCGCAGGCGGATATGGCGTACGGCCACCGCCAGTCGCTATCCATGGCAGCGAGCCAACCCCAAGGAATGTTTACAAGAAACATCATTGGAAGCGTCAGTTCTAGTGCCTTCCGCCTCAACGACGTAGACGATCAAGTCGGTGTTTGGTTCATCATGCAAGACCTGAGTGTGAGAACCGAAGGCCACTTCAGGTGGGTTTCTTTATGCGATTCGATATATCAGCAGCATGACTAACTAGTTACTCTCAAGATTGCGCTTCTCATTTGTCAACATCGCGAAGCCCCCGGGCGCGACCAATCCAAACGGATCCATGGTAAACCAGCACAAAGCCCCGATTCTCGCTGCAACTTTCAGCGACGCTTTCCAGGTGTACTCGGCCAAAAAATTCCCCGGTGTCTGCGAGAGTACTCCCCTCAGTAAATGTTTCGCAACGCAGGGCATCAAGATCCCCATCAGGAAGGAGGGTGCCGCAGACGGGAAGAAGGGCGGTGACGATGACGACGAAGCCTATCAGTAGCACATAGAGGCGAACGATCCGGCGCACCCCGTACGTGTGTTTTGTCCCATGAAGAAATCAAAGGGGCATGGAGTTTAGGAGGTGCAATATCACAGCACAAGGATACAGTACGCAGAAAATGGCGTATCGGACGGTCACGTCACTGTGGTATGAAGTGTGATTATTTTCCCGGCCAGTGGGAGTTTTTGCAAGCAAAGCTTGTAACTTGTATTAATGCTCAATTGGATTATGTGCCTTTCTTTGGCGCCAGCATGGAAAATTTCAGAAAAATTCAAAAGTTCAAAAAAACAAAGTTCAATAATCCGAGATTAGATTTGTAATGTGTCTGCCGCGTGAGATATCGTGCCGAGGAAGTTGGAATAAACCCTCATTATTCATATGAGAGCACCACCAAAAAACGTCCTACCTACCTTTCCTGTAAGGCAGACAGGCCCCCCTGCAGGATACAGGATCAGGATTCGAGTGGGAAGTCCGGTCCGTCACGCCCAGCGGCCCAGATCTCCCTCTGCCCACATTCCGACTCGGCCGGGTAACGTTCACTAGCTTCCGCGTCCTTTTTTTCCTTGGGTGGGGTCGGGTCGTCCCAAGAGAGAACGCATACCTATCAGCTTTGGAGGGCGCGGAAAGGGGGGGGGGGGGAAGGAGGAAAGTAGGCAGGCAGAAAGCTTGTTATATTGAAAGATCCGATCAGACGGCGGGAATCGAGGGGAGAGAAAGGCAGGACGTCTCCGTATAGTAGGCACCTATAAACAGTTTCCCTCGAGGCGCGCTTGACAATGTATTAGGTAGAAATCTTTTGAACCATCGTTTTTCTTAAAATCAAGAGTGAGGTGGCGGGCCCAGCTTGCTCGAAGCCTACCTATTCGAAATCACTCATCAAAGCCACTTTGTCAGAAGCACATTCACGAGGTACACAAAGCACGCGAAAACTACCATCTCATACACTGCCAACCGAAACGGAACACCGCGGCCTTTTGCTCCTTTTAAAAATCCGACACATTGTCTCCCATTTAGATATTGAAAGCCTACAAAAAATTGATGCCTGCAGTTCTGACTGCGAGGCAACTCCAACGCCATATCACGCCCTGCCTTGCCATTTCCTTCCCTTTGCGGGACTTCTCGACTGAACGACGCTCCAACACTCCCTAAAGTTTTTTTTCATTGCTGAACCTCCCTTCTTCTGCTCCCTCTCGCTCGGGGGCAGCAAAGCCACTGTGAACATGATTTCAGCTGTATGATTCGCATTCCATCCGTCAAAACCTCGTTGTGTCGCCTGTATCAAACGCCATCTCTCGTTTCCATCTCGAGCAAGAAAAAAGTAAAGACAAAAGGGAAACATGTTAGGGTGGAGAAGAAAGGGGGAAGAGGTGTACAGGTCGAGGATCATATCCACCTTTGATCCCCCTATGAACAAATCCCTGACTTTACTCTCAAGTGGAATAAAAGTCATGGGACAAGCTTCTAACGTCCTTTCATGAGCAATAATACAAGCCACGGGGATGAGTCCATCCCGGCTCAATTGGTTTTTTGAGCGTTCAAGCCTTTGTCAACGCACACGTGCCTGACTGCACGCAGACATCAGCCTGGCCATGGGTGAAGAAAATCAATAGTCTTGGGTACTTTTGATAACGCCAGCTGTGCGTGTGCTGAGGCTCTATGAATCGGCCAGTTTCGCAAAGTGCTTGGACCAGATCCAACCGACTTGATCGTCAGGGTCATCTTGGTTTTTGGCAAGCCATAGCTCGCCCTTTTCAGCAATAACATCAAAGATCTATCAAAAAGGTCAGTCTGGCAGCTCTTACCACACGCGCACAATACTGGAAGTCATGTACTTACCTCACCGGCTTGGTACGTAAGATACGGGTAGCCAGCCTCGTGCTTTGTTGTTTCAATATTGAACTCGAATAACGATGCAGCCAGCCAAAGAATGTTATATCCATTCCCAGCTGGGGTGCGCTCACGTGACGATGCGCGTGAGGATCTTTGGCCTTCCTCGACTCCATCGGGCATTGGCAGTGCTGAATGGAACAGGCCAGAGAAGCGCCTAGATTCATTGCCCACATGCTGGGACTGATGTGATGGATTGGAGTCTCTTCTGTTATTTGACGCCGACTCTGAGCTCTGTCTCGGGAGACCATTCGTTTCGTAGCTTCGACCAGTGCCAGGTCGAGTGCTGGGCGGTGGAGCAATTGCACGGGGCACAGGTGATTGGTCACCCGTAACTGGAGAGGCAGACACTGAAGGCCGCTGAGCAGTTGCACCGGCGTAGTAGTCTCGGTAGTGGAACTGATGGGGGCTAAGTGGTGTAGTGCTTGGCGACAGAGTGAACTGGCCGCTGTGGCGCTTGGCAAAGTCTGGTGTCGGCAACATCGGGGCATGGTCTCCGTTGACTGACAGGCCTCTGGCTCGCGGAGATTGTATCTCAGCTGGCCGGGGTCGGTGCTTGGTCGTGACATCGTCGGTGCTAGCTGTAGTAGACTGCGATGTCCTTCCTCTGTATGCAGGGTTCAGGATCCCGACATTGGCAAAGAGTTCCTGCGCGTACTTATAATCCCTTTGGAAGGCAGAGACAATGTCGGAAACCTCTGGTGGCGGCCCCGTCTCTCCGGTGACCTTCTTGACCTTTTCCACCCAGATGGAGTACCAGTTCGCCTGAATGTTGACGAAATTGCCCAGACAAATGTTTCCAATCCTCTCTGTTAAGGCAGACAACTGGGGTAGCTCCTTCTTAAGGGTCTCGTTGAGGGCGTCGTACTGTTCCACCAACTCCTTAAGTCTGGCGTCTACCGTCTTTCCACCTTTCTTGATTTGTTCTGCTCTCTCATAGTCAAGCCGTCTCTTCGCACGTTTCTTCATAGCCAACGAGGGGTTACCATATGCTTTGATCACATGCTCGAATGGCTCAATGACATGCTTGCGAACCTGCTGGAGCTGCTTGGTTGTTAGTGTTTGGAGCATAGCTTTTTGAACGGATTGCTCACATAATCTTCTAGGGCAATCTTCTCAATATCTCTCATCGAGACATTGAATTGCACCCATTTACTCTCCAGCTCCGGATAGCTACCAGGTTGGAGACGCATCACAAGCTCCATGGCGGACAGGTACTGCAAGAACTCATGCACGTAGGCGCTGACCTGTCGGGTGTAGAACTCCACATCTCTGAGAACAACTTGTAGCCGAAGGTAGTCGTCGCCAAATTTCTCATGGAGCTTGGCGTATACAGCATCTTCGGGAATCTTCGAGCTTGCAGCCTGAAGTTTATCAACACGTTTGCCAAAGGCTCGGGCAAATCCAGCCTTGACATCGGATTCCTTCCTCTTGCGGCCAACAATTTGCCCAACAAGCTCGAAATTCTTCTTCGTCTTGTTAATCTCGACAATTGCCAACTCCAGGGTTTCCTTGGCTGACAACAGCTCGGCTCGGTCCGGATGATCCTCGGGCGTGTGTCGCAGAAGCTCTTGGATGAGATTGGGATACTTGGTGATTCGCTGCATGGGCTTGATGAGAAGAGAGTCCAGGTCCCAGGCTGCAGTCAGGTCCTTGGCCACTTCATTACACTCATTGAGCCAGACCTTTACGGTGGGATCTTGCTGGATTTGGATCAAGCGTTTGGCCGCATGGTCGCTGTTTCTGAGGAAGCCCTCATGCGCCAACCTCATCTGTTCAATATGCTTCTTGAAGAGAGGACCCAGCGACGTGGCTCTATCGTTGTCGTCACCGAGTTCTGGCGCCACTTGATTCGTGGACGAGTTCCCAGTCTGTTCCGAAGCAACCGAGTCCTCCTTCGGCAAAGGAGAACGCCTACCGTGGGGTACGTAGACAGTGCAGACAGCTTCCTTAAGCTGAGCACAGAACATGGTGTGGAAGGTGATAATCTCGTCTGTGTTTCTGAAAATGAGCTTGATGGTTTTGTCATCCAGTCGTGGACAAGCTTCAGCGGTGCCCTTGTAGATCTCTTCCACAATATTCATGTCTCTTACGAAGACCATCTCGGTGTCGACGAGTTCTCTGATCACATTGCGTCGTTGCACTAGGCGGTGCTTCTCTTTTCCGATCGGTCCGTCTTTCTGACTGGGTGTTGCTATCGACTCGACAGGAGTCTGGCCGCCAAGAGAATACTCCCTGGTTTCAATCGACATGTGGTCGATGGATTGGGTGGTTGAGACGGGGCGCGATGCATCTTCGCTCTGACGCCGAGAAGAGCCCGCAAGGGTGCTTCCAGGAAGTGTGTCTGCGTAGATGCTGCTAGCTGCTGTTCGCCTGTCGCGGACTCGTGTAGACGCAGGGACTGGTGGGGGCTCATGTTCTGGCCGCGGCAAGGTAGGATCTACCTTGCGGGCTGGGAAGTGACTCTCATCAATGTAAGGAACCGAGAAACCATCTCCAGTATCCAACTCCGGCAGCTGATGAATGGTCGCACGTTGGGACGGCTGAACGGCTGCTGTATCCGATGGCGCAAAGTCAGGGCTGTAATGTTCACTCTGTCGGGCGGACGAGTCTCTGCTAGAGCCCGATCCAAAAGCCGACTCGGATGCATAGGGCGGCTTGGGGATTGGGAGGACATCGTCAAAGGCCGAGATCCTGTGAAGGATGGGTTCGTCGCTGTCGACCGAGAAATCAGTCCATGCGGATTGCTGGCTGGTCCGGTTCACAGTCGCATGCATGGAGGGAACCGTTAGGCTGCGGGACGTATCGGGAGTTTGCTGGCTTTCGAGGCTCGTTTTATGAGGATCATCTTGGGGATCAGAGGACTCGCAAGTAGATGCTCGTTGAGACGAGTCATTATCCTTGTGGTGCTCATGGTAGAAGTCTTCAGGCTTCTCGAGGGTGTCGCTTGCTGATCCCAAATCCTTCTCCGTATTGTGGTGGAAGTAAGACACATCACACACGGACCCATCCATATCCCCCATTTGACTCTGATCGTCAAAGTCATCATACGACTCCATTCTTGGGAAAGGAATTGTTTCCTGTCTAGGAGAGTCATATTCAGATTCCCGCCTGAGGATTTTGACTGTTGTTTCGTATGGCGGGCTCGAGAAAGGAATCGGCTCGTATTCAGACATCGGCCGCGAGCTGGCAAATGCACCAGGAACCACCGGTTCATCGAACTCGCTTCTCGTCGGGCTCGGTTCAGGCGATTGATGGGAAGATGTTGGTTCCAACGAGATCTTGATCGAAACCGCGTCGTCCCCTGCGGACTCATCCTCGAATGGGTACTGGTATTCCGCTTTTTCTGGCGTAGGCGGTCGAGGCTCTTCATCGGCTTCAGCCTTCTCTGGCGCTGACGGCGGGGGCTGCTCTTCGACTTCGGTAGTCTCGGCCAACAAATGTAGCTGAATTTCCTCAGCCTCGTTCTTCTCAAGGGTTGGCGCACGTCGCACTTCTTCCAATTCAGCCTGCTCGTGGTTGCCATTGGCTTGAACGATCGTCAATCCGAGCCCAGTGGGAGGTTGCGCGGGCTCTAGCTGCACAGCTGGAAGTTCCTGTGGCTCATTATCGAACTCGGTAGTCTCCGAAGTGGCCGAGATTGCGGATTGCGGAATTCCTTCCTCTCTCTCAAAAGGAGGGCTCAAGGCCGGGAAACTGCCCGGGATGCCCAGCGTAGGGGAGTCTGCAGCTTGAGGCTGAGGCGGAGAGAGGGAAACGACGGGTGGCAATATCGTCGAAATGGTTAGTGGCTGAGGCGACTGCGCAGGCGATGGAGGCTGCACCGACGGTTCCGGTGCTGCAGAGAGTTCCTCCAACGGCTTCTCGAAGGTTTCGCTATTATCCACTGGAGGCGATTCGGCTTCGATCGGCGGGACCGGCGGAATCTCTTCCTCCTCAGCAGCAGCAGATTCTTCGTCCTTCTTGCGTTGCGCCGCTGCCTGTTTTGCATCCCGCACCTGACTATCGCGGATAGACTTAGTATACGCTAGTCTGATGTGTTCGCGCCGTTGCTCAAAGTCGATAGGGCCCACAGAGATCTTTCGTCTTCTCGTCGTTGATCCATCAGGCTTCAGGGACTGCTTTGGTGCAGGCTTATGCGGCGACTTGGACCTGTCAACGGCTTTCAAGCGCGAACTTGCCGTAGTGGCTGTCGATACAGATTGCCGAGGTCGAGAACTGCGCAGTGGAGGAGATAGTTTCGGAGGTGGTGCTGCCACATA